GTGATATTTTAACACTTTGAATCATTTAATTAGGGGTTTTTTTTCTGCCTTGCTTGTCTCTCTCTTCCTTCCCTTATTCATTTTGCAGCCTTAAACAATTTTGCTAATGTAGCTTATTCAATGTATTTAGTGCCATTGTGGGGTCCTTCAGGCATTGAAGGAAACCTTATCTGTAATCCAGTCCCAACTCTATGTCCTTTTTATCTTGCCTTTTTATCTAGCCTTGAGATTCTCAAGCCTCTGGGAAAAGCACTGTAGCTACAGAACAGGAGTGTGCCTACTTCTAGCACTCTCTAAGTTACTTCTATAAAAGTAATATTTCTAAATGGCCTAATATTTTCCTGCAGCTGTACAAATGTTAATTATATTTTGAAGCATCACTGTTATGTATATATTCCTGCCAGAGAGGATACAAGAGGGTGGCTTGTCTTTGCACAAGATGCACTGAAGTCCAGATGAGTAACTATGGTGATAGAAGTTCTAGGCAAGGATTTTAGCAGAAAAGCTGTAAAAGAAAGCATAAATGTCCTGCTGTTGTACAGGAAAAAATATGACAGGTTTTGAGTAATAACCTGGATGTGTGGGGAGGATATTAAAGGAAGAATTGAAAATCATACCAAGTTTGCCAGGTTACACGACAGGGAGGATGATGGAAATCCATACTGCATATTATAATACAACATGAAGGATTTCTGTAGAGAATATTACCTTGTTTCACTGATATGGGATGCTGCATTATTCATTTGCTCACATAGCCTTATTTATTTTTCTCTTTTCTTCATCGTATATGTATCTCTCCATTACTGATTCAATAAAAATCAAGAAAACCATTTAATTAAAAAAGATATAGTATCTAAAGAAAAAAGGAAAAAAACCACAACAACAATAATGTTATCTTCCCTTCCAAAGTATTTTGCTTTTCCAAAGCTTTGCTTTTCTTGTAAGAGCTGATAACATCACTAAATATCTATAGCTCTGAACCAGACTGTTGTCTGCTCTGTTTAAGTATTTGTGATGTTAGCTGTTGTGGAAACAAAGAGCCCTTAAAAGAGATTTCAGAAGATAAAATGATTAAATGCCTTTCAGTTCACCTTCGAGGATTCCAGAAACGCAGTCCTGAAGATATTAAGATATTATGCACTGCATTTGCCTGCAGTATCCCAGAGATTTTGTTCTCTTTGTGCTCTTGAAATCTTTTTTTTTTAAGTACTCTCAGCATCATGCTTACAAACTTTACTGTTCATTTTTCTACTTTCAGGTACCCAAAATATGGCTCAGAAACATGGTGTAAATGTGGCTTTTCTGTCTCAGATGCCAGTCCAATCTGTCAAAGAACAAGTAAATTTGACGCTGGTCAAAAGCACTGCTATTTTTTTTCAGCTGCTCTTAGGAAGGAAATCTTTTAAATAGCCCCTCATCCCATTTGCACTGGGATGAACAGTTTCTTTCCCACCCCCAGCCTCCACCCCCTAGTTCTGCTTGCATAGCAACAACTTCAAAGGAATGTAAGGACTGATACTACTTGTATGTACAATGTGACCACAGGTATGGTTGCATGAATTACAGCTTCTCAACAGGTCAAATTAGCCCACCTGGAATACTATGCTGCCAGGCCTATATTTGCAAGCTTGTTGATAGCTAGCTTTAGTACCTCTGTATTATTCTCCAGTTCTTCATTATAAGCTTAGGTGAGCAGGACTTCACAGGTTTATACTTGGTTCACACAAATATCTTTACAGGCATAAAAGCAAGAAGCTTTTTAACAGAAGCTTCCATTCTGGAATGTAATTATGCAGTAATTTAAAAGGAATCTGCAATTATGCAGTAAGTAATACAGCCACATAGTCACTTTATACACAAGACTTTAGTTTCAGGTTGCAAAAGAAAACCCCTTTCTTTTGCTGGCACTGAAGCACTTATCCTTGTTTCAACAGTAAACTTAGAGATGCTAAAAAAAGAAACTATAATAACAGGCATGAGTCATGGGTGATGGTGATCTTGAAAACACAAATCAGCTTCTATCCTGAAGGATCCTAAAGTTCTCTATATACTGATATGCTAACTATACAAAGGAGATGGTATAATTTATCATCAAAGCCACATCTGTGCTAAAATAGTAGTGTTAGAGTGATGTTAGTTATGATAGTCCAGGAATTCTGGGAGAGGCTGGGCCCATGGTTTGGAGGAAGTGGCAACTGTAGCAAGTGAACTTGTGAGAAAGGATGAAGTGGATGATTTGTGTAACAACTTGTTGCAAATCTGAGTGTATTCGATGTTCTTGTAGGTGTTTCAGGCAGGCAGCTGTGCCTTCATCATGTGGGATATTAGTGTACAGGATGGTGACATCCATGGTGGCAAGTGTGGCCTTCTTGGGAAGGTGGTTGGTGTTCTGGATTCTGTTGAGGAAATCTGTAGTGTCTTGTAGAAAACTTGCTCTTTGAGTGATAAGTGGTTTCAGGATAGTTTCTACAAATCCTGACAGTTCTTCAGTGGGGGAACCGCAGTTGAGTATGATGGGTCTGCCAGGGTTACTTTGTTTGTGAACCTTTGGGAACATATAGAAAGTTCCTGGGGTAGGAACACTACAGATGGTGTGCTGTCCTGTGGGATATTTTTCATGCATTGTGATCCCACGACTGCCTGAGTTATGAGAGCAGTGTAGTAATCTGCATGAACAGGAGCCATAACCACTATTATCTTCTGATTTTAAGTGTGAGAGAAGAAATAAGACTGATATGGAGGCTAGCAGAAGGAGATATCTATGATATAAATAGGAATGGTTTGTGTCTAAGAGATACAAGCAGTCCTCAGACTTATGACACAAGTGGTTCCTGAAAACCGCGTCTTACATTGAAATGTTGTAACTCGGAACTGATTTTCCCATAGGAAACAATGTTATAAATGGGAGGTTGGGAGGTTGGCCTGATACCCTATTTTCACCAAAAATAACTCAGAATATTGTACCCAATCAATTATAGATGAGTAATATAGCTACATTAATGTATTTATGTTGTAAATATAAATCATATTGATTTGGAAGGACTTATTTGAGGTCACTTTGCTGGACTTTCTGAAGGGTTCTTGCCTGGAGCCTTCTCAAGAGCCTTGACTGCAGGTTTTTCTGGAGACAAGTTTGCTTTCTTAATGAAAGTGTCCAAGGAAGTTTGGACAGATGTACTCCAGGGAGATGGGCAATGCAGCGAACTTCTTCACTGGCTTGGCATTGTTTTGGATCAAGTGTTGTAAAGTCGAACTGACATCAGAAAGTTGAAACAGGGTGTTAATTTATAAACATTGTAAGTGCAAAACATTGTAACTCGAAACGTTGTAAGTCAAGGACTGCCTGTACTGGGATGTCTTCAGTGACAAGAAGTAACTGTTTAGGTGGTAGCACCTTAATTAGGGGAGTCTAACCTAATCACAGGAAACAATGGCAGATTCAAAATAGGCAGGACTGAAATTAACTTCAAGGTATGAGCAGATGTGACCAGATTAGAACTGGGGCAAAAATGACTACACAAGAGTAGAGATACAATTAAAACAGAGAAAAGAGAAGGAAAAAAGCATTTCTAAAAATGTCCCTTATATCACAGGACAGACACATCCAGGTTCAGGTTATTCTCCTTTTTGATAGAAACGAGAGGCCACTTGCACTTCCAGACTCCTTCCTAACCCCAGAGAGAGGCAGAGAGCTAAAATCAGGACTTGCACATAAGTCTCCCATTGCTTTTACTTGCATCTTCTCTTTAGTTAGTCTATTAACATAATATTCATAGTTGATGTGACTTGCTTGTATTAAATATATGCTAAATTCTGCTTTGGCTTGAGGAAGGGGAGGTTCTGAGCAAAGACCTAAGAAAAACAGGGATAGCCTTTGCACTAACACAGGGAATAGATACTTTTATATCTATTCTGGGGTTCCATGAACATTGATGTTATTTTATTTGTACTTTTATTTCTGTTGGAGATGTAGAGAAGCTTGTTCACTTCATTTGGACTATTTGGCAGAAAGCTTTGTAATCCTGCCAGAGAACTGAGAGGTTGCAAGCATCATATCAGGAAAGATTAGTATGCCCTGTAATTACCTTCTATTGTCATGTAACACACTCTGAATTTGTATGAGAGGTGCACTCATGAATCCAGGTAGTCGGCTCCCTGGCATACACCAGACATGATCCCCACCTAGTGGCTAATAGCAAGCTTTAATTAAAAAAAAATCCCAGTAACAAAAATAGGCAACCTAAGATAATACCCATGTTAAAAGCTTGGTAGTACTGCTTCTAATATGCTACTATTGGTTGATGCTTTATTGTTTAAAATAGGGGTTGGAAAATTTTGGGGGCAGAATGCCAAAAACACCTGCAACATCTACTAGTAGAATTTTGGCATGCCAGGGATGGACCGTGAGGGATCCTGGTTGTGGCAGTGCAGCTCCAGTCCCTTTCCCACTGTCCACCCTGAGGTGTGCATGCCAAGCAAAATGCCTTTGTGTGCCACACACTGGTACCCATGCTGGGGGTTGCCTACCCCTGATTTACAATATTTTCAAAGCTGGAAGAAAAACCCACAATGTATATTAAGATGTTATAATGTAACAATATAGCCTACATAAGGTATCCAGCAGGTTGTTTTTTATTTTATACACAAATCATCTAAAATGCCACCACTGCCTCCTGTCCATAACACCCTTGGAGCACTCTGATTGGTTGTTTCAGTAAGCAATCAGAGTGCTCCAAGACCATTATGGACAGACAGACAGACGGACTAAGCCCATTATTATATTAGAATAATTTTGTCTTCTTTTGTAAGTTGCCCTGAGCCTTTTTAGGAAGGGCAGCATATAAACTGAATAAAACAAAATAAATAATTCAAAGACTGAGCAATTTTAGGAATGCTATTTTGGAGAAGCGCAGCGCCCACTGTCAATTTTGTTAGAAAGCAAAGACAAATGGACACATAAAATAAAGGCACCCAAATGTTATCCTTTTAGAAAGATGATGTCAGAACTTTATTATAATTCCAGACTTGTTCACTTCACTGTTGCACCCTGCCTCCTGAACATAGTTGTCTGACCTGCATCTTGAAAGAGAAAGGATGGCCTTCTGGAAGTTGCCTCCAATCATAACATAAAGTAATAGGTTAGCACATGTATTTAGTGCAGCTAAAGGTCTAGAGATGATGTAAGCAGCATGGATTAGGGTCTCAATGTGGCAGTTAACTGAATGGAGTCGTAATTCTACCCGAGCTCCCCTAAAGACATGAAAAGGTAGAAAACATACATAAAAGACCACCAAGAGGAGGATGGCAAGTTTTCGAGCCTTTTGCTTATAACAAGTGTGAGTATGGGGCCCTGTAGCCAAGGTGTAAATAATCACAGTGTAACACAGGGTCACAATCACTAATGGAAAGTAGAAAGCTAATCCAGTCAGAAGCCAGTTATACCACCTGATAATGTCCAGATTGTCAGAACTGATAAGATCCAGGCACATGGATTTGTTTTGTTTCTCTTTTGAGGTGATCAAAAAGTTGATAGGACTGACAGCCACCAGTGATATTACCCACACTGCAGTGCAAGCTGCTACTGCTGATCTCTTTTTCTGAATAGAGAAGACCTTCATGGGATGGACAATCACAAAGTAACGGAAGATGCTGAAGCAGGTAAGGAAGAGGATGCTGCTGTACAAGTTGAAGTGGAAGCCAAAGCGGATAAACTTACACATAAAGTCTCCAAAGATCCAATGCTCTCCATTGGCATAGTAATGTATCAGGAACGGAAGGCTGGTTAAGTACAGCAGGTCAGTGAAGGCCAAGTTCAGCATAATGATAGTGCTACTCTTCCAGGGCCTCATCTTGAAACTGTATATGCAAATTGCAATCACATTTCCTGGGAAAGCCAACAGAAAGATTATGCTGTACATAGGAGGGAGGTAAGATTTCTTCAATGAGGCTTCTATATCAGTACAATTATTGGAAGCATCCTCCTGGTTCTTCACTATGGTAAAGTTGGCTAAGTTGTCAGTTGTTGCATTCATGTTCATCTTCCTTTTGCTTGAAAAAAAAGGAGAACTGTTTTATTTTCACTAATAAAGTAATGCAATGTGCTCAACCACACAGCTAAGAGAAACAAAAGTCTGTGAAAACATTTATAATACAGTTCTGTTTCCAGTCCAAAAGAACTTTAGATCCTTCAGTTTCCCATCATGTTTATTTTAAAATATTACGAGCAGGAGGAAAAGGCCTTGCTACAAATTGATCTTCTGTGGTAGCTTTTGTATTTTTTTCACGTACAGTTCATACTGTTTTAAACTGATCCACTGGGCCATACAGATTATATCTTGGGTATAGTGGTATTACGTAAATAACCCTATGAGATACTGCCACACTTAAATCATAAGGAAGTTGTATCATAAGATGTGTCCTATAGAAATGTCAGGGAAATCTTTTGAGTTTTTTCCAGTATTGCATCAAGCAGGGGCAAACCAGAACAGGAGAGAAGCTTAACAGTGATCTGTCCTTGATGTTACCATGCTTCCATGCTGTCTTGTTAATTTGTTACCTCAGGGCCTCGTTACGCCTTATGCTCTGAGCCACACAAATGTTAATCGGCTTAGTGCTAGTTTGAAGTTTGGAGCAGTCTCACCTTCAGTTTGAGCAGCAGGTCTGTGGGGAGTGGCTACACTTTAATGGGTGATATGCAGACAATCCTGCCCTGGCATGGTATAACTTTGAGTTGCATAATGAGCACTTTAAGACACTTAAATGTGTTAATGTGCAGACAATCAAGAGGTTAAGAGCTTCAGGAGCTGCCCAAAATTATGCTGCATCAAGGACCTTAGTCCACAAAACAGAAAGACTAGTAGCTTGTTGGGTTGTTTTGTTTTTCCTCAAAATCATTATCTTGTGCCCAGCCTGCAGATTTTTTTCACTGCTATGGCATTTTTGCATAGCTTCACTATTGTTTTTCAAGAGATTCTCTGGAGACACAAGCAGAGAGCAGATTTTTCTTAAGTCTTTTTTTTGTTTTTAAAAAGCAGTCAAAACTAGCTTTTTGATTATCATAACTTTATGATATGATAAACCATTCCAAAGAGTAGAAATGTGTACCTGGGTTTGAATCAGTAACTCTGAGATTCAACTCTGGACTCATCCTGGACTCACACTATCATCTAGCAGTATGACCGGAGATCTCTGTAACTCCTGACACCTGGTGCAGGGGCCCAATGTGATCTTTCAGCTGTGAACACCTCCTACATGTGAAATAGGGTCATGGCTCATAACCAGGGATCCTGGTTTCTCTGATTAAAAAATCCCCAATTATCAGGTTTAGAAAAGTAACCCAAAATCCACATTTTTCCATGATTTAAAATGAAATGCCACTAATATCTATCTCTATCTATCTATAGGGGTGCTCATTTTAATCACAGAAGAATGTGGATTTTGGGTTACTTTTTTGTAGTCTGAAAGTTGAGGATTTTTCTTTATCAGAGCTAACCAGGACCCTTGCTCATAACATAGTACCTAAACAAAGAGTAAGGAAAGATAGCTACAAGAAGCAAGAAAGAGCAAACAAGAGTTTGGGCCCTTGAGCTAGAGAAAACTAGCTATTGCTGGTCAGTACTAATGCCGCTTACTGCTTATTGCCAGTCATCTACTACCTGGAAGGTGATGGTGTCAGCATTTTGTAAACTTATTTTTGTCATGATACTATTTAAAAATGTTTGTATTTAAGCATTTCCAATACAAAGGTTGTTGAAACCAGTAGGCAAAAGTAGGTCATGCAGCAGTCTCATTTAGTGGCAGGATGTTATGTACTACTGAATTGTCATCTTTTGTTTTGTCAGGCCCAATGTGTAAAACTTTGATCTAGGTCTTCCTGCCTTCCTCCTAGTGCAAAGGGATCCAAGTACTGACCAGAGGTAATAAGTAGGTATGTCATGAGAGATTGGAAAGGAAGAAGAGCAGAATTTTATGTGGTGAGAGCCCATTTGTTTCTTTATCTTATAGCTGAGGCTTTGAACAATTTGAGGCAAAGCGTTAGCCTGGAACTGCACGACGGTTGTAACTAGGATGAGATACAGTGGCTGTGTCCAGACAAGTGCAGCAGTGCAGTATGTGGCACTGCAGACATGTCTGTGGCACCACACACCACACGTTCTGTTCTCTGCACTGCAAGGGAACGGGGAAAAAAGCGAAGCAGCAGAAGCGGGGGCAGTGTTCAATGCCCAAAGCCAGAGCTTGACCAGCTGGAGATGCACTCCACTGCTGGGCTGGCTTTGCGTGTCAGGATCACTGCTGTTGCAGCCCCAGGAGGCCCCCAGGAACACAGGTAAGGCTTCTGGGACCAACACAGTGCTGGCTCCAGCCTCCCCTACCCCACCTGGGGTAACTTGCCGTGTGCCAGAACATGCATGGCACAGGCATTCTCCAAGGACAACTCGCAGCAGCACAAGGTGTGCCACCACTAGTTATCCCTGGGGAACCAAATGTCTGTGCACATATGGGTGCATCTACACATGCAATTAATGTAAAGCAGTAAACTCTGGAGCTGATTGCTCTGGAGTTTGTTGCTCCCAGGTGTGCTATTTGAATGTGCATCTAGGACTGCAGCACATTGAGCCAGGTCAGAACATCCCTGGCTGGCAGGGGGCTCTGGGGATCAGCCTGCCAGCCCAGGGCTCCTCCCCACTGTCTCAGTGTACTACAGAAGGGCTGGCTGGGACATGTGTGTGCTCCAGTGTGGCACTAGGTGGCAGGCAGCCCCTGCACTGAAGCACCTTTTAGTCCCAGTCAGCCTGGGTGGCATCTACATATGCACTGCTGAAAAATAAAAAATTAGGGTGGAGCTAATTAGTTTACTCCCACCTAGTAGGGGTGCACATATAGACATGCAATGTTTACTGTAGAGCTAATTAGTTTAATCCACAGTAAATGTCTTGTGTAGATGTGCCCTGTATGTGCTATTGTTTGCAGACCAATATATAGTGTTGCCAGGTGAAATCTGATTCTAGATTTCAGTAGCATTACATCTGAGAAAGATCACTGACACAGCATTGCCTAGAGATCTGGACAGTGACAAAGAAAGGATCTGACATGAATAGGACCTCCCTATTGATGCCCTGTAGTCTTTAGGGTATGCCCTCTGCTTCCTTCATGGACCATCAAATCCAGTCGGTCTCTAAATGGATGATAACATGGGAACTCCTCTGCCTTACTGAGTTTTCCCAGTAAGTTTTACCTCCTATAGTTTATTTATCTAATATCCATTTTTGGTGTAGATAGCCAAGCCATTTATTTGTTTTACTATTTCTTGTGTTTGGTGGAGCCATAACACATTTTTTACAGTGGATCACATGCCCTAATGAACTTCTATTTTTCTTTTTTCCTCCTTTGTTAAGAAAAAAGAATTGAAAGGACACTTTCATCTTAGACACAGAGGAAGAAGTGGCTGACATAAAAAAGTTTTGAGAGAGATGCATACACATAGGAAGAAAAAATAAAAAAGATGGGTTCAATGCTGTGGTTTCTCATCATTTGCTTTACAGAGAATTCCAAAAGTCACCAAAACTTTATAGAGAGCGCTCAGAATTTTGGTAACTTTTTTAATGAATTGATTTACATCCCATACTAATTAAGTAGAAAACAGTGCAGGTGAGGAAATGGCTTATCATCCTTCATGGCATTGATCTTTGGCTAATATTCATCACCCTTCTCCTTTAAAACCGTGGGTGGGGAGGAGAAATACTATAGTTCGTTACTTTGTGAACAAGAGAAATTAATGTTTTAATGAAAGGGTTATTTGTTTAGACTTTATATTAGTAGCACTGTACATTTTGTGCCATGTAATGGTTTTAATTTTGTTACTTTACATAAAAGTTCTTTCTTTTCCAAAATTCGGGAACAATTTCACCGATCTTTGCAAAGTAGTCACCTCATGGGTTGAATCGGGCAGTTCAACATTACACAAGAGATTAGGAAACAAAGAAATGAGAATACTGTGCCCAGATGAATGTGGAGGGGCAATTTAGATAGGAAGGTGATAGCTGCTCATTTTGGAATGTAGTTGGTACTTTTGCAGAATACTATGTCCTTTCTTTTTAAAGTGGGAAGAATTTTTTCACCGCCATGCAGTTGTAACTTTAATTCTACCCTGCAAGATGCCACCGCTGACAGCAATGGGCTCTGTAACAAAACACTTGGGCCCTGTCTCCATATGGACTCATGAAGAGGAAGAATACTTCCCACTGAATCATCAGTATCATTTTCTTTAACACCGAGGGTTTTTTTGGGGTTTTTTTTTTTGCAGGATGGAGGGGAGAAGGAATGCCTTTAAGCCATGTGTATTGATCTAAGGACAGTCCTTAGATCAGTCATTAGCTTTTAAGATCTGACAAAACCACAACCTGGCTTGGTGAAATTTGTGAGAAACATTTTATTGAAATATTGTTAAACTCTCCCCCCTAAAAATAATGGCTTTCTACTAGGGCAATAGGAAGAGAGGCATGTCAAACAGGTGCAAGTATTCAAAAACCATCATGGTCTGGAATAATATCAAAGAGAATTTAGATAAATCAGTGTTATGTCTTCAGATCAGTGGTTCTCATTCTTTTATATAATGGAATCACACTCCTATCTTGCAATATGAGGAAAGAGTTGTGAGTCCTGATGTATTGTGCAGGTTATCAGCATGCAACCTCCAGCTGAGAACATTTGTTTTAGGTTAAATACAGGATTGGTTCACAACAACATTTAAATAGGTGGGAGAGAAGGCAAGAGAGCTAAAAGAAGGCATTGATAGGTAACTGGGCTTTAATATCCTTTCCAAACCAGTTCAGAGCTATTACCATGGCTTAATTATTAACTAAGTTAATGGCATTGAGCCCGGTCTTGGAGTGGGAGATCACAGTGGTGTCTAACAAGAAACACTTAGCACTCTGGAGGTTTGGGTTTTATAAAGTTCAGCCAAGAAAAAAAACATGTGAAGGGTTCTGATGTAGTTTATAGCATAATGAGGCTCAAATCTTGGGTGTTCTTTTAAACACTGCCAGCATGTTGTTAGAAGACTCCATTTAGCTGCCAGCATGTCATATCAGGAAGAAATCCAAAACAGTGCTGGGGAGCATGACTCTCATGCCCTAACATTACAGACCCTATTGGCTAAAAAAATGTTTCAGTTGTTTTTCAAAAAAGCTAATCAATATATTTCCATTACAGTGTCTTGTGTAGGTGGCCTTGCCACTGACCTACAAATGTAAATATCCTGTAGGGAATGCCAGATTACCGGCAGAACAACTAGCAACCGTTTTATTGATGAGGACGAAGGGTATAGTGGGGTGTCCAGTGCTATTAGATTGGTCTGACTCCACTTCTGAAGCCCTGTCACGTTATTATGTTCAACATAACTTAATACTATAGTAATCAGAAAGAAGAGACAGCAAGTCTTTGCTGCCTATTTTTATAGTTTTGTTCTCCGTATTACAAAAATCATTTGGCTAAAACTTAAATCTAATTAATAATAGATTCTACTGGGGCAGATTTTATCATGATGAATAATTGGTTATAATGCCTCTCAAGCTGAAGGCAAAGACTGTGCTGCATAGGTACATAATGAACTTAAAATAAATTATCCAAGAACAGAACACATAATAAGTAGAAACTGGATTATAGAAACAGTGACCCACTTTCAGTCTTAATGGGGGAGATGCTTCAATGAATCCATTACATCATATTCTGTACTTTAACAAATTGATTGGAGTTACTTAAAAAGGTCGGGATTGCTTGTCTTTAATTGGAGGCTCATGTGGAGGAAATTCATCTGCTCTTGCCTTGTGATAATGTAATTACTTAGTCCCTGCTGGAGAAAAAAGCCAAACGGCCATAGCCATAGCAGAGTAACCTTATGCTTCAAATATGTAGTTGAGTATATTACCAAGAATAAAAGCTAAGGAGATTTACTGCCTCATCTTATTCTGCAAATCATTTAAAATCCTTCTAATGCAAGAAGGAAGACCTGGATCCTCTTTTCTTATGCTGTTATAATTCAGTGCTAGACCTCTAAGTCTCTGATATTTCCTACATGAATTTGCCTGTGTTCTGCACTTTGTCTGCATTTTCAGAGCCCTTTAACACTTTGCTCAGTGCTCTCCACTCCACTCCACTCCAGTGTTCACGTCTTGAAACAAAAAATGCTATTTACCTGTAAATACTTTGCAGTCTTCCCTCTCTTCCTTCTCACCTGGAGCTGGATTCTAAACATTACAGAACCACATGAAGGGCGCTTGTTTTCCATAACATAGCACAGGCTTAGTGACACTGTTCAGGAAGGCTCCAGCAAAATACTTTGCTTAATAAGATGTCTTGAAGGATGATCTGTATCTGTTTCCAGTGCTTCTGGTGGTTGTAATTAGAGTGAAAGTAGCTTGGGCTCCCCAGCTCTGAACAAGAGAAGCTCTGCCCTCTAGATTCTCTCCTTGTAGATGTCCCGTACCAACTCCTGTGTGGAGAAGCTCTGTATGCACCCGTCTATCCCAACTGTGTTATGGCATGAACATGGGGGTTTAGTCATTGTAACTTGTTAAATCAGCTGAAACTGCCTGGAACTTGCCTAGTTTAGCTGGAGTGGTTGAGACCTACATCAGGCACTGCCAGGCACTCTCCTCCGGGTAAGCAGCACTCAGCTTAAGACTCCCTAACAATATCCCAAGATGTTTCCACTCTGGGAAAAGGAAATTAGCTATTGGGATATCTCCCTGTGGTTTGGTGAAGTGCTGCCAATATTTTAATCTGATGCTCCCTCAAAATATGTTTTTCCTTTCTCTTTAATAATTTCTCCATCGCAGGAGGGATGTGTGCAAATAAAGTGGAGAGGAACCAGGCATATGATCATTTGGGTTTTTTCCCATTTAATTGCTTCCACATAACAAAAACCAAGAAAGAGAGACAGCATGATCCCAAAACTGTTTGTAATGCACATAATTCAGAGGTGTTTATACTATTTTTCATGAAAAATACACTGAGTGTATTGGTTATATATAGCCCAGTGTGATTTAAAGAGTGGAGGAGCAGGTCTTGTAATGGGGTTCAATGTGTTTATCCCAAGATATTTTTCTGGAAATTACCTGATACTGAGTGTAATTTGGAGCATTCTGAAGATAAAGGCGTACCCCAGGTGTGCTCTGCAAGCAGCAATATCAACAGAGAACATACCAGCAGATAAAAGGAAAGCAGTTCAACACTCCCTTCAGTGTTACTATTTACACGAGGCTACTAGAAGTCCCTCCAGTACATTGATTTTGGAAAGTCTGGCCTGCACCTGCTGCTGGCTGCAGTTTCTTCCTTGTTCTTCTGGTGCCATCCATGTCATGTTATTGCAAGGAACCTTTGGCAATCACTGGTGTAACTAAGCAGGGTGAGTGGGACAGCAGTGTCAAGTCCCAACTTGTATGTGTGTGAGGGTGGGGAGAGCACAAAAAATAACAGCCACTGCCACTGCTGGCGTGGCATCACCACCATCACCATCCAAAGCACAAACCTGCCGAGTTATGGCTCTTTGGACATGCCTGTCACAAGGTACTTAGACAGCATGATGAAGGATAACGTATCTACAGAGCAATTACCAGCTTGGCTCAGGTAGCTTACCACTCTCAGTGCTGAATATGTGTCACAGACCTTTCATTTAGAATTGGCATTTGCACACGTTTCATTTGATCCCATTTTCACAACAGTCCTTTTTGAGCATACAAGTTACTAAACCCATTTCAAAGTAATTGATCATTTCTCCAGTTTCAGATGT